GCGGCACAGGGCCCAACCGGTTGGCGACGCTCGGGTTTGGGACGGGCGCTGGTTCTGAAAAGAGAAGGCAGGGATTTTGATTTGCCGTGGACCTTGGTGGTTGCCACTCAAGTCAAAGGGGCAGGCGATCCCAGCGGGAAGAAGATGGGATGGTGTCTCTCCTATCTCGCGAAGGAACAAGAAGCCGGGACTGTGTCCAAATGCCGTGTCTTGGACAGCTCCATCGTTGCCGCTTCATGAGCCACATCGCGATCTGACAGTCGCAATGTCATCACGTCCATGCTCGACCTATCTTCCAAATGTGCAGCCTTGTCCGTACCGAGGGTTTCTGTTTTTGGCAAATTCGTCATTGCAGCTGTGCGGGAGCGTGCTTGCGCTCTCATGCCCATGTTGTACCAGGTACGTTCGCTTTCCGAGGTGGCGCAGGACACAGCCATTAGGAGAAAATATCCTTCCCCCGCACCGTCCCGTGGGACGGCGTTCGGCGCCATGCAACCTTGACCGGCCGCTCGTTGGGTAGTACTTAGTCTGCCAACTCGCGTCGCATGTGCACATTGCATCTGCTGGCGCTGGTGGCCATGCAGCGCGGACTACAAGGTCAAGTGGGCCTCGAGGGGGTGGCTGTTGAGCGTTCCTTGCCTCTACTGCACGGGATGCACGGGAACCACACGGTATCCATGTTCCGCTCCCCTCCACCAGCCCTGCTGTCATCGAGTATGCTTCTGCCCTCCCCCCGCCAGACGGCGGCACAGCAATTGGCAAAGCCAACCTGCAGCGCATGCAAGCATCTCCTTGCTGAGGCAACTAAGGATTCAGTAGTGCTCTCCTTGTGACGCGCGTTTTGCTGCCAATACTTGCTTGCTGTAAGGGCATGTGAACACAGTGGATCCAATGTGTACCTAAGTACATATACATATACCTATGTACATGTATACAAACGTCGGTAATTCAAATCATGGCAAACCCCCTAATCACGATCCTACTCTTTTCCCTGGCAAATATGCATGGCGCAATCTTTCTGGAATCCCAAGGTAGATCCCTCGTATCTACAGTTCGTACCTGTATACAACGTAGGTTCGTTCAGGGGCGTGTTTGCCAAACCTGTCTTGAATCCCCCATCCATGCCAACGGAAACCCGACAAGACCAGTCTCGGCTCTACTGCGGCAAAACCACATCCGATGAGGTTTCACCATATCCAGTAGATCCACATGTCTCGATTCCTCGACGCGGAGACATGCCCAGAAAAAGCACCAACAGTCGGACGCTAGCATGGTATTACGCGTAGCTATTCTATGCCGCCTCCCGCTCTGTTTCATGCCAACTGCCAGAGAAAAAAATGCTCACCCATTGCGAGACTCGAGGCGATGTGACCACGGAAGCTCTGCCCTCAACTTCGCCACAGCTTGGGTTGCTATCTTAGGGTCCACCCGTGCAAATTCTGGCCAAGGGGGGTTTGGGGCAAGCCTGCTGACTGTCACTGCGCACAATCGTTGCGTCGATGGCAATTATAAACGCAGCTTGCCGTGACTCGCCTAATATCATCCAAAGTTCCAGTCCCGTCTGGACCCGGGCTTGACTGCATTGCGATGGGATAGCCATACAATAGCTGCTATTGACCATTTATCGCAACTGGGAAGTTGTGGGGATATCTTTGCTGCATTCTCATGTCACCGACTATGGCAAGATGCATGAGCTGATCATTGTTGGATACGACTGATCGCCAATTGGACTCATACCATGAGACGCAACCTATCGCTTCATTCGTGGGTTTTTTCTCCCGACTCTCCACTGGAACCTATCACCATGTAATGGCCCCTGGTAGTGGATTAGCATCGGATTCTGCCTTCACCGGCCAACACGACCTTACCTCAGTTCCAACCCTTATATCTCGACATCCTAGGAATAACTGCGCAGAATGAGTGCACTTCACATTTCTCTTGCCTGAACTGGCTAACTCATTGCATGAAACATGCGGGGTGACGATGTAAGTTGGACTGCAGAAGGAAGTCTTGGTTTATAGGCATTATGCTTTGAGCTTCGGATCTTTGCCTTGGTTTGGGTCGAATTGGTCATCTGGAAATGGACGCCTGAAAGTTACAATTGCCGGGTGAATACTATATGCCAACTTCCGTTTCTGCATCAGAATGAACCTATCGTACCAACTAGTTCTGAACGAGGGTCTGCAGGAGTGGTAACATGTCGCATGAACCGCTACTACCGGTCCTTCGGCACGTGTAAGTGAGTGCACGTGAAATTCGGGATCCTGTTCCGGTTGGCGGTCACATTTCCAGTGCATAGACGTGACGGATTGTAAATCACGCTTATCTGATTGAACTCTGTTTTGTTAGATAAATTGCGCCAGTTCCGCGTCGAACAAGAATTCTGAATTCTCAAGAGAAGAACTGGTGAAGGTAGAAACAAACTGAGGGGACACTACGTTTATAACTACGTACAAGACCATACACGAGAGCAGGTCTCGATACGCCACAAATGCATTGTTAATGATCCTTCTGGCAGCGCAACGGCAAAGTGTATGAATGGCCTATCCCATCTCAGAACAAGCGCAATCAAAGGCCGGGAAATCATCCGGGCTAGACGCGCCAATGCGGGGCCCCGCAATCAAATTTCATCTATTCAGGCACTACTAACGCTACAAAATAGGAGAATAGGCTTCCCATACAAAGCTCATCTCTAGGCCGCCTTTTTAGTTTTCAACATATCTACAGCGGTCTGAAACGGCGCACGGTGTGAAGATGAGGCTCGCAGACTCGCTTGGCCAATGAACATCACGCCTGGTTGCACCGAGAAACCTCACCATCAAGGCCTCGGTGGTATCCCGGGTCCATATTCACACTTGATACGAAGTGACGGGAAGCGTTTCCGCCCAACGAGGCCGTGCTCTCACGAGGCAGTATAAGTATGGTGTGGATTCAATCGAAACAATTCCCCAATCACTTGATTCCTTGAGCCAGCGTAGCCACTCCTTCTTGAAACGCTTCAACATGTCACTTTCTTCCGTCGTTGCGGCAACCCTGTTGGGCTTGGCCACTGCCCAAATAGCGGGGACTATACCAGAGGTACACCCAAAGTTGACAACTTGGAAATGCACAAAGGCTGGTGGATGCAAGGCGCTGGACACTGCCATCGTCGTCGACTCCCTACGCCACAATATTCACCTGAAGAACGACACAAGTGTGAGCTGCGGAGATGAATACACTGCGCTCAATACGGCGCTGTGCCCGGACAAGAAGACTTGCGCTCAGAATTGCGTAATCGATGGCATCGAGGATTACTCTACACAAGCAATTTTCACGGACAACGACAAGCTTCGCCTAGACATGTTTAACCCCAAGGGCGAATACATGAGCCCTAGGGTGTATTTGCTGGCCGAGGATAAGCAAAAGTACGAGATGCTGCAATTGACGGGCAATGAGCTATCCTTTGACGTGGACATGTCGAAGCTGCCCTGTGGCATGAATAGTGCTCTGTACCTCAGCGAGATGGAAGCCAATGGTGGGCGGTCTGAATACAATACCGGAGGTGCGTCCCGGGGCAGCGGGTACTGCGACGCCCAGTGTTTTGTCAAACCATTCTTGAACGGCGAGGTAAGTTTGCTTGCCTATTAGTGTTGAACAAACAACTGACTGTACACAGGCCAACGCCAATGGCGAGGGCGCCTGCTGCAACGAAATGGATATCTGGGAGGCCAACAGCTATGCCACCCAGATCGCTCCTCACACCTGCGCCAAGCCAGGTATCTTTGCATGCACGGGCAATGACTGCGGCAGTGCTGGACTCTGCGACAAGGCCGGATGCAGTGACAACCCATACAGGGACCGTAACGACAAGGAGTACTACGGACCGGGTCTTAAGGTTGATACCAACAGGCCGTTCACCGTTGTCACCCAGTTCCCAGCCAAGGACGGCGTGCTCCAGGCCATTGTCCGCAAGTACGTCCAAGACGGTGTGGTCATTGAAAACGCCATGCGCAACCTCACTGCTGAGGAAGCAGTCATGGACCAGGCATGGTGCGATAGGCAGGGAAAAGACTCTGCCTACAACAGGCTCGGCGGCCACAAGACCATTGGTGCGGCTCTGGAGCGCGGCATGGTTCTCGCGTTGAGCATCTGGTGGGATAAGAGCGGAGGCATGCAGTGGCTTGACAGCGGAGCCAGCGGACCTTGCAATGCCACCGAGGGCTTCCCAGATGTCATTCAGTCGAAGGTCAAGAATCCCACTGTTACCTTTAGCCAGGTCAAGTGGGGTGAGATTGACTCGACGTATCGAGCTGCGAATGCAACGACCAAGTACTGGAAGGCTTAGAGCGTGGCGGCTTTGTATATATTAGGATGATAGATATGTGTATATGTACGTTCTCAAATAGAGACGCGTGAGAATACCTTGAGTCACGCAGATGACTTTTGCAATATTGTTATCCCGCAGATGAAACGCAGTAACCGTCGGGAAACACCATGTCAACAGAAACGCAGTATGAGTCCTCACCTCATAAATCGCAAACTTTTGTTCAACGACCGGTCACGTCAAGGGCTGACCGACCAGACATGTCACGACAGCAGACGCGAGCAAATACGAATGCAGCTTACAAAGCCCATGCAGCTTACAAAGTCACACCCACTTTGCCGTCCAGATGCGGAAACCACTAGTCCGCATTCCCACCCACCGGTGACGCCCGTTTGACTCAAACACCACGCAACCTGCAAACTTGTCCTGTTACAGCAAAAACAAGCTTTACGCCCTTTGCTTCTACATGTGTAGAACCGCCACTAGATGACTCAGCCGTCTTGCCGTGCGCGGACATTGGGGAGAATGCCTGGGAGCCTGGGTAGGGAGGCGGTGCATGAGTCGGTGCGATGGCGTAGTGCGGTCTAAGTGCGTTGCTGTTTGAATGGGTCAACAAGAGTTGTATTGCTAAGCTGAGGGTTGGGATGCACAAGGGGCAAGTATAAAGATTGAGGGATGTAATCCAGTTAGTTGAGGCATCAAAAAAAAATCAATTGCAACATCCTCATCAATTCCAATCTACTATCACTTACTATCCCAAGACTTGATCATCCGCCTACTACTTTGTCGTCATTCCAAAAGGAATCCAAGAAACAACAAAAAACAACACCACGCGAATTTTTGAGAAACGTTGGAATATCGGAATTCGTGTCATACTCAAACATGTCGACTGCACGCTCCACATCCACATCTACACCGGAAAAGGACACAATGTCGATAACTTCCTCGTCGACCATGACAAGTACAAAGTCGCTTCTTCGATCGCTGCTCCCGTCCAAGCGGGACAGCAAGGCGACAAAGACGGAAGCTGCAAAGTCGAAAGCTACAGAGACACCGGCGGAAAAGGCGGAGAGGAAGTTGACAAAGGCCGAGGCTTTGCATGATTGGGCGTTGCATCGGTAGAAAAGGAAACGAGTAACAAGGAGGTGATATGGGAGAGATGAAGCGATGAATGAGGGACGCAGTTACTGGTTAGTTCTGGTGCAGATATCCTGGGGTTTGAGAACCTCCCCAATTCGTTTTCCTTCTTTGTTTATTATACATACTTTGGGCATAATATAACATGTCTCTTTTCTACTTGCTGCTATGCAGTGTGTTTTTGGTCACAGCGCAGCGATGGCAGATAGGGATGGTTGATAGGAGACGATAGTGCATCATAGTTTGATGCCACAGAGGAATTGAACCAGGGTCTTGATTTTTATTACTATTGTCCTAACAGTCCGATGCACAAGTGCTTTGAGCAAACAAGGCTTGAGTGAAGGCAATCTGCTCTTTTGTCTGATAGAAATTTAGCATGCAGTAGAAGATGAGTAGCCCAAAGCTCAAACTTTGACTTTATGCCATCACAAGACGAGGGTAATATCTGCCTTTTGAATGGTGGTATCACACAACATATCACAAAACATACCAAATATAGACATGGCCATGGGCTAGGAAGACAACAATGACAATGGCGCCAGAGGTGCAAAAAAAGAATAACTTGCGCACAAAGCTGTGACGACATGGTCACTGTGCGCTTCATTTAGTTACTTTTATCTATCGTGTGTGAATCATAACATCATCTAAGCAGGGTATCATCATCCTGCCAGTGGGCAGCTCTACACCTCCTTCTTGGGGACACCACCTGGCAACGTCTGTACCTTTTCCTGGAACAGCTTCTCAGCACCTTGCCATACAGGGGTTGTGGCGCGGTCCTTGAGCGCCATCAAGCTAGGCAGTAGGGCATTGCTGAAGGCTTCTGACGACTCGCGGGGAAGTGCGGATGGAAGATGGTCAATGGAGATGACAGAGAGTCTAGGGCCGTTGCCTTGGACAGGTACCTCAACCGTGGGCTTGTCAAACGTTGTGTTGATGTCGTAGATGGGGATAGGGTTGTGGGGATTGGTGGTGTCGCACGAGACATCGCATACGACGCTTAGCTTGCGGGTTGGCGACTGAAGGCTCTCCTTGCTGACAAAGGGAGGAATGGGCTTGGAGAGGTAGATGCAGTTGACGAAAATATCCGACTCGACAATCTCGGGGTAGGGGCCGTCGCGCTCCTTGGTCTCGGCCAGATCCCACTTCTTAACATCTGAGCAGCCAATTTTTTCGAGAAGGTCGACAGCACCCGAGCCGCACCGACCCAGGGCACCGAGAACCAAGCTGCTGGGCTTGCGGCCCGCGACCTTCTCACCAGCAGCGACATCGTCCTTGAGTTGAGCGATCAATTCACCCTCGTTGTTGTAGTAGCCGCGGCCGTCGGTGAATGCATCAAGGCCGGGGAGGGGTTCGCCATTGGGGTGGGTGAGTTGCCATGCCCAAGTCTTGATGGCAAGGGCAGCGCCAACGAAGCCAGCATGGTATCCAAAGGCAGCCACACGCCTACCCGACTCATCCTGCAGAAACTCGAGGTCGTAAAGAGTACCACCGCCGCGGGGGAATCGAGCGAGGACGTTCTCCCAACCGCCTTGTTGCTTGTAGCAGTGTGCAAAGTGGACGAATGTGTGCTCAAGAGGGAATGAGTCTTCAGGAAGTTCCTTGAGACCAAGGATGATGTGGTCTTTGGGCGCCGTCTTGTATGCGCCCTCTTCAATGAGAGTTGCGCCGGCCTGCTCAAACTCTTCGTCGGCGAAGATGCGGGCGTAATTGGGGTCCTTGGGTGAGCGTTCGACGAGGACAGGGTATCCGGCATCGAGCAGCTTCTTGGCTGTGGTGGGCGTGAGGCACGAGCGGTGCTCAAGTGGCTTGGCCTCTGCGCGGGCGTGGAGGGTGGGGAATGCCATTTTGGAGGTGGTGACTGTTGTTATTGTTGTAGTGGTGGTGGGCAATTGCAAACCGACAGTCTTATAAAAGACAATGCGACGGACTTCGGAGTGTGGAGCAGGGAGTGCCGGATTAAAGCAGCCCACTATGACTCCATGCTCTGTTTTGCCCGGCGCCCAAATTTCGAGCTCCGAGAACGGGGGGAGACAAGACCGGGGGTGGGGGTGGAAAGTGGACAGGCCAACGAGAACGGCGTCCCACCCGCACCGGAAAAACCATTGCCCATGATACACCAACAGCTCCACGTCCATGCTCTTGCTCGTGCGGCACTTGGGACAGAAGCGCAAATTATGATTACTGCTTGGAACAGTCGCCCGCTTCGAGACGACGGACTCTAACAAAAGAGGAGGAAAAACGACAAGAAGCGAAAAAGGACGGCGACGTCATCATTATTAGCAACAACAGCATCACCACCATCACCACCAAGGCCATCGAAGATGCCGCCCAAACCAGCCACCCTAGACGACAGCGGTCGCCCGCCTGCTACACCATCACACTCGCGAGACTCGTCGAATGCAAGCGCCCGCCATGCTCATGCGCCTGCCACGCCTAGCCAGCTGCGACAAGCCCATGTGCCCTCGGACCCGTCCACTTCACCAGACGAGGCCATGCACCGCCGACATTACTACGATGACGATGAAGAGCCTCTTGCCTCGGCCAGTGACACTCTGCCCAATCTTGACTTTGGTGTAGACGGCATACAACCCACAGCAGATGCCCTGTCTGCGCACTCGATCCACGAGAATGTTGGCCCGTCCGGCGGCATCATAGAAATCGACCTCGAACCCACTGTGCGCACTCGCCTGCTGAACCACCAACAACACGACGCAGGTGCTGGGAGGCCAGCGACACATCGCAGCTATGGTAGCTTTGCGGGCAGCGTGCACTCGGAGCAGAGCTTCGGTGGCGCCTTTCCTGGCATACGCGAGACGCTCGAGGGCGACACATCAGACGCTACACATACGCTGCTGGGCGACGCTGTTGCCGATGGCGTCCTCAACAAGGCCAGCGGCAAACAAATGAGCACCACGCGATGGCTTGCCGAACGCCATGGTATCAAGAACAAGCGCATGATGTACCTCAAGTACTACATCCCCATTCTCAACTGGACCCAGCAGTACAAATGGCGTTATTTTAAGGGCGATCTTGTCGCAGCTATCACTATGGCCTCCTTCTACATTCCTATGGCCCTCTCGTACGCCTCGAATCTCGCTCATCTGCCCCCCGTACACGGCCTTTACAGCTTCGCGTTCAACCCGCTCATCTATGCCATACTGGGCACCTGTCCACAGATGGTCGTAGGCCCAGAAGCACCTGGCTCACTCCTCGTCGGCGAAATTGTGCGTGAGAACATCAAGAAGGGCACTACAGACGACAATGACGGCAGGCGCAATGCCGAGATTGCTGGCATTGTCACGTGCATGGCTGGCGCATTCATTCTCATTGGCGGCTTCTTCAGGCTTGGTTTTTTGGATAACGTCCTGAGCAGGCCCTTCTTGCGTGGCTTCATCAGCGCTATTGGTGTAGTCATCTTCATCGACCAGCTCATCCCTCAGATGGGACTGGCAAGACTTGCTGCTGACCAAGTATCTCACGGAAGCTGCTTGGACAAATTTTTATTCCTCGTTCGCAATGTTGGCAATGCACATGGTCTTACATGTGCTGTATCTTTTACTGCGTTTGCTATTATTATGTTCTTCAGGTATGTTGTTCCACGCCAGACGTCTGGTGACTGTCTCTTTCTGATTCTCCTTGCTTACAACTTCGCAGAGAGTTCAAGAAGCGACTGCAGCCACGTTACCCCAATGTCGCATACATCCCGGACCGCTTTGTAGTCGTCGTGCTTGCTACCATCATCACCTGGAGATACCGGCTTGATGAGCAAGGGCTCGCGGTTCTTGGCGAAGTAAACTCGAGTGCGAAGCTCTTCGCAGTCCACTTTCCCTTCGACACATCGCATCTGAAGTATGTATCGGACGCCATCAACACCGCCCTCATTATTGCTATGCTGGGTTTCTTTGAGTCGTCTGTTGCAGCGAAATCTCTAGGCAGCGGCGAGCAGAACAAGGAAGGGGTGCAGATGCCACTCAGCGCAAACCGAGAGCTCATCGCATTGGGTACTGCCAACATTACTGGTGGCCTCTTCATGGCTCTTCCCGCATTTGGTGGTTATGGCCGGTCCAAAGTCAATGCCTCGACTGGTGGTTTGACCCCCATGAGCTCCGTTTTGCTCTCCATCATCACCATTCTGTGCACTGTATTCATGCTGCCTTACTTTTACTACTTGCCAAAAGGTGTGCTTTGCGCCATGGTTTCGGTTGTTGCCTACTCGCTTGTCGAAGAAGCACCGCACGACATCAAGTTCTTCTTGAAGATCCAGGGCTGGTCTGAATTGATCCTCATGGGCCTCATCTTTTTCATCACCATCATTTGGGATCTGAAGCGTGGTATCGGCGTTGGCATTGGTCTGTCCATCCTGCGCCTCATCCGCCATTCGGTCCGCCCACGGATTCAAATCCTCGGCCGTGTGCCTGGGACAACCAACCAGTTCTCCAACGCAGAGCAAGCCCCGGGAGATGTTGAGTTTATTGAGGGATGTCTAATAGTAAAGATTCCAGAACCCCTGACTTTTGCCAATACGGGCAACCTCAAGACGCGTCTTCGCCGCCTAGAAGACCACGGCACCGCTAGAGCGCACCCTGCCTTGCCGCGGGTTCGACATGCAGAAAACAACAAGAACATAATTTTCGATGTGCATGGCGTTACGTCGCTTGACGGAGCCGGTGCTCAGGTACTTGCTGAGATTGTAGAGTCGTATAGAAACCGAGGGGTTAGAGTGTTTTTCTGCAGAGTACCCAGAGAGTCGAGTGCAGTTTACAAGCTCTTCGACAAGAGCGGCATTATCGAAATGTGCGGTGGCAAAAGACACTTTGTACACAGTGTCGAGGAGGCGCTTCGGATGACGGAGATGGAGCGGTTAAGCGAAGAATGGGGTAGTTCCGCGGAGAGCTCGCGCGCTGTTTCCAGCCGTGCGTGACGAGGATTTTGCCACGAAGCATTTGGAATCGTGCAACATGAGCAAAGGCGTTTCTAGCATGGCATTGGACGACACGGCGTTTTGAGTTTCCAAGTATAGAACTAGACGAGGGCGTATGTGCATAGGCACTACATGAAAAGGGCATTGGGAATCAAAAAAATTTCAGCTTACCAGCAGGAAGGTCTGAC